CTGAGGTTTAGGCCCCTCGTTTGTTAATTGGCAAGGTTGATTTCCACCTTTTCCAGGTGTGCCTCAGTTTTCTCTGCAGTTAGAAGGGGGAGGAGTTCCAGGATCCTAACATTTGACTGTCCCCAGACCGCTTTTATGTTTGAGTTTGAATGCATTCTGGGAGAGCAGTAGATGTGGCTTCCTACTCATTTTGTTTGACTGACACTGAAATTAGTCAGCTTTCTCTGAGTACACCCAGTTAATGCAAAGGGGAGAAAGCCCAGAAGCTCAGTAATTTGCCAGGAAGGCCAGTCTAGATTTGTGGCAGGCAGTCGGCAACGTGGAACGTGGACAAGTGATTCAGATGCATCTTTAAGAGCAAAACCCCCTGCAAACGCCTGGCAAATTCTCCCATTTCATCTGGTGTCGGTACTTGGGATAAATGAGACCAAGATGTTTTCTATAGAATCTTAAATAGATGAAATTGCAGAAGCCAGTGCATCTTCAGCCTCCTGCTTCCCCCCCTTTTAGTCGTTACATTTGGGGTAGAGTACTGGCCCCCCCACGAAGATGATTGGAAGTGGTTTGAGATCAGGTGAGCATTTTGTCCACCCTGGCGGGGGGTGACCCCCAGGCCTGGGGTCCCCCGATCTTCACCCCTCACACAGAGCCATGGAGAGTCAGAGAGCAGACCGGCTCTTCAGAAGTGCAGAGGAATAAGGAACCACGCCCTCCTTCTGATGGCTGGAGGTGGCGTCAGACCTCTCGTGTGTCTTGGCCCCAGTGGGTCCTGCTGAGACTGAGCACATTAGGAATTCTTGAATCCAGTCGGTGGCTCCATACCGACCTCAGCAGCAAAGATGGGGGGCAGTTGGATGAGCTGGAGAGCCAAGCCCTCGGAGAGTTATGGAACCCTTGTGAGTACCCAGACCTCACTGAGGCAGGAGGTCGGGGGAATGCACGTGGGCTTTGGAGCCAGGAGGTGTGGATGGGGCTCCCACCTGCCACTCCTCAGCTGTGTGTGATCCTCCGAGCCGGGCTTCTCATCCTGGAAAGAGAATTAATAGTGTTTTCTCTCGGGGCTGCCCGGAGGCTGAGATGAGCGTCCGCACTTGGTGGGGGCGAGTTACCGTTGGGGTTCCGTGGTGCGGATGCCGAGGGCCGACTGCACTTAGGAGTTCCTCTCCTTCCCCTTTCCC